ATGGGATCCCTGTAGGGCCCAGAAACACCCTCACTCACCTCGGGGGCCCAGGCAGGAGGGCTCTGGAGCCTGAAATGTGCCGTGCTCACGTCAGCGAAGCCGCTGGTGGCAACACCTGTGGGCCAGACACCTGGGCCGGCCACCCACGTCTCACCTCAGGGACGTCCAGTCGGACCCACAGGGCTGACCCAGACTCAGTGTGACCCCAGGTCCAGACTCACCCTCCGCCTCCGGCCAGCTCTGGTCCCATCGGCCACTGCGTCCACCCTGAGCTCCCCCGGGAGCCACACGCCAAGCGGAGGCCTTTGGCCCCCCTAACCCAGGGTCATCTTTCTCTAAAACAGTATTTCTGGATGTTCCAACTACAAAAACTACACAGTGTAGAAAATGTAGTTCATGAACGCAAGTCCGCAGAGGAGCTGTAGACCCTCCCTTCTCCTGCTGCGCAGAGGTAATGGCGTCTTTTCTCTCCACATGTAAGAATTAAGGATCAGCGATGAGCAGGAAGGTTTCGTCATGTCTACTTTGACATCTGGTGTCCCGTCTTAGTCACTTAGCATGAGGTCCTTAGCATCTTCCTCTGTCATCAAATATCCTTTGAAAATATCCTCCGTTTGGCTCCACACCACTCTCTGCTAGAACTCTCCGACTCGCCTGACTGCTGCACGTGGTTCCAGAGTGGAGCCAAGATGGTGCCAGAGAGGCCTGGCCCCACCCATCCCCACAGACTCTCCTGTGCTCACAGGAACATGGGGGCAGGAGGATCGGGGAAGACCCCAGCCCTGGTTGCTTGTCCACGTGAAGACAGACCGCAGTGCACCCACAACAACCCAAAATGGAAGCCACGTGGCCACTGAGGGGAAGGGTGAAGATGGGGGAGCATTTCCAGATGGGGTGGCACGGCCCCACCTCAGAGGCACTGGTGCGCTCAGCAAGCGCTGGCGGGAACACGCGGGCGGCAGGGTGGGGGGGGGCATGTGCCCTGCAGTGGCCCTGTGGCCAGGGGATAGCCAGGCCCATGGGAAGGCAAGTCCCCAATGCCTGGACCAGGCTTCTGCCTGCTGACCCAGCTCCTGCCCTCCAGGAACCTACAGTCTCAGCGGGAAACAGATACCAGCCAAATAAAGGTCAAATTATGCTGATGAGGGTGAGGTAGGTGGGGCTGTGAGGATGTGTGTCCTGGGGTTCACCCCCTGGGGTGGAAGTATGGCCAGCCCCCTGTGGGAGGGGCAGGTATGTAGAAGGTTCTGGAAGAGCAGAGGTGCAATGCAAGGTGGCCCACTGGGAGGAGATTTCCATTTTGAAGCGTTTGCTCTTGCAGGGGAGCAATAAGGGGCGGGGAGGTTGAGGCAGCAAGAGCGGGAGCGGGAGCAGGGCCTTCAGGAGAGGCTGGGGCTGGGGCTGGGGCTGGTGGCCGGCCCCTGGGCTGGGGCAGTGTGCCGGGACCAGACAGGAGGGATGGCCGGCAGGGAGGAGGGAGAAGGCTCCTACTGTGCATCCCTGCTGGCTGGGCGCACTGCCCATGGGCATGGGGAGGGGCCCACTGAGCAGAGGTCTCCTCAGACAGCCCCGGGGGCGGGACCCAGCACAGGGGAGGTGGGGCAGGGCCCAGTGGGGGACTGCAGTGGACAGGGCACCAGGGCGGGCAGCACCAGGGTCCTGGGCAACTGCCAGGGCTGAGCCCCACAGAAAGCAGGGCGAGCCTCTCACCCCTGGGGCCTGGGGAAGTCACGGGTGGCCCAGCACCCCAGGTCAGACAACACCGGAGGACCCTGTCACCCCCAGCACCTGCAGGTCTTGGCCACGTCGCAGGCTGCGAGGAAGAGGCCTCTGTCCAGCCAGCGTCCTGGCGGGGTCCTGGGAGGAGGGGAGCGCGCACCCCACCCCGGTCTGCAGTGCAGGGCCAGGGGCCAGGACGCTGCTCCGGGCGAGTGGGGGGGGGCGCTGGGGGGCTGCGCAGAGCAGGGGCCGGGGTGGCCCAGCGCCTCCCTGCGTGTCTGTTCCCCGGTGTCCCCTTGTGCGCTTGGCCACGCACAAGCACCCCCTCAGCCGCACGCGGGGGCACAGCTGGAGGGGCGCGGCTGCTGCTCCGCCTCTGTTTCTTCTCGGCCTCTGGGTCTCCGGCTCCTCGTCTGGAGCCCGGGGTGCCCGCTCTGCCCGCGGGGAGGCCGGGCCGGGGCGCGGGGCGCTGGGTTTGGTCCCAGGAGCTCAGCGGGGCGCGGGGCGCGGGGCGCGGGCGGGGGGCGCGGGGGGAGCGCGGGGGGGGCGCGGGGGGGCGCGCGGGGGGTCGGGCGGGCTCTCCCCGCGTTCCCCGCAACCCGCTGCCCGCGGCCCGGCCACGTCGCCCCGGAGGGGCAGCGGCCGGGCCGGGGCGGAACCGGCGCGCACGCGGGCGGGCCGGGCCGGGCCGGGCCTGGCTCTAGGACCCGCGGGCGTCGGGCCGCGCGGCCGGCCGGGGCGGGCGAGGGGCGGCGGGAGGCGGCGAATAGCTCGGCCGTCGCCAGGCAACCGCCTGACGCAACGCAAAAAAAAAAAAAAAAAAAAAAAAAAAAAAAAAAAAAGAAGTCCGGGAGGGAAGAGCCGCCCGCGAGCCGCGGCCGCGGAGAAAGGCGGGCGGAGCGCTCGGCCCGCGGCGCCGTCGGAGCAGGAGCGCGACCGGTGACCCCCGCTCGGGATCGGGGCGCGCGACCCGGTGACCCCCGCTCGGGATCGGGGCGCCGCAAGGTGGGCTTGGCGCGCGCTCCTGGGCCGGACCTGGGGGGCGGTGCTCCCGAGGGGCGCAGGCGGGCTGGGGAGCCCCGGCCCCAGCGCCCGCGGGGACGCCCCGTCACCGCTGCCTGCCCGAGAGTGGGGCGCTCTGCTCCCCGGCGCCCCCGCCCGAGGTCCCCCCGCGGGAGCGGGGAGGCTGCTGGCTCCTTCCCCGTCTCCCGCCCCTTCCAAGGTCAAGAGCTGGGTGAGAGGTGGGGCCCGCGCGGCGCCCCCTCCGCTGTCCTCCCGGGCCCACGGTCTGGTCCCGGTCCACTTCAGGCTCAGCCCCGCGGAAGTTCCCGGCCGGGGAGCAGCCCCGAACTCGGGGAAGTGGCCGGGGCGGTGCCTCAAGGAGGCTCTGAGGGGCTGAGGGCGTTGTGACCCCGGACCGGGCCTGTCCAGAGGTCCCCCCCGCCAGAGCAGGTCAGCCCTTCCCTGAAGAAGGCGGGACGGTCCCGCGTGACCTGGTGGCAGGCGACACCTGCCCGTTTGCCGGTCGGTCCTTGTGCTTCTTTAAAAACAAACCTCCCTTCTGTGTGTGTCTGGTCCTCGGTCCCTCCCCGGCGCGTGGTTCCCTGCCAGGGAGGCCGGGAAGGCCACCCCTCGGCCTTGACCCACAGGCAGGTTCTCCCAAACCCACTTTCCGGGCCTCTCAGCACTCCAGGGAGGCCGGCTGGGATGGGCCCATCCATAGGATGCCCCCCCCCAAGTCCCTGGGAAACTGGCTTTTCAGAGGCGTCCCGTGCAGTGCCCCAGGGACAGAGCTCCCGGCCCCCAGGCGAGGGGTGGCGGGTGGAGGGAGCAGGCGGAGGTGGCCCGGCCCTGACTAGCCTGACCGCCTGCCAGGAGGGGAGCTTCTGCCCGCAGTTTCTAAGCGGCTGGGAGGCCGCCAGGGGCTGTATCAGCAGATGCAGATGGCAGGGCTGCTTCCCCGAGCGTTCCCCGCGGCACACCCACCGGCCGGGCTGCCCTTCCGCATCATGTCCCCACCGGCCGGGGCGCCGGGAGCTGTAGTGACTGTAGTGACTGGGTGCAGCTCACATGGAACACAAGAGCGGAGAGTCCACCTCCCTTGCCTGGCTGCGAAGAGGGAGCTCGGGCACGGAGGCGTGAGCCCAGTGGGCGACAGCACAGAGACACCGGTGGCTCTGGTCTGGGACGGTCTCTGGCCACCTCCCGGGAGCCACGAAAGCCATTTCTTGAGCCAGGCGCTGGAGAAGGAGCTTCAACCACGTTGGCTGGCCTCCCTCTGCCCTCACCCGCCCGGCCCACCTGAAGACCCTCAACTTCGCTGGCACTTGCTCCTGTCCTCTGGCTCAATCGGGAAATAACGGTGGAGTGGCTGGGCCTGGCTCCAACAGGCCTGGGGGCAGCACAGAACTGTGTGCGAGAGAGTCCGAGCCCCAGGCCCACCAGGAAGGAGCTGCTTGTTAAGCTCCTCACACGCTCCACATTTCTCTTGGGAAATGTTGTTAGGGGGCCTCTGGCTCCTTCTGGGAGCCATGCTTCCCTACAGGGCTCCTTCTGGGAGCCATGCTTCCCTACGGGGCTCCTTCTGGGAGCCATGCTTCCTACGGGGCTCTGAGCCTGGTGGGTGCTGAGCTGCTGGCAGAGGGGAGCAGTTTGCTGGGGGTTTACAGAAGAGGGTGGGGCGGGCTCACTGGCTGACAGGAGTCCTTAAGGGTTAACTGGGATGGCTTTTATTATGCAAATACTCCCTGGGATTTGAATTGGGGTGAGGGGGAGGGGGCTGGGGAGAACTGGCTAGGAGAGGGCCGTGAGCAGGTGGGAGCTGGAAGGAGGGGGGGGTCCTCGCTTTGCTTTTCATCAGCCTGGCGCATCTGAGCTGGCACCAAGGGTCAAAGGCTGCAGATACAAGCTCTTCCGAGGTTAGGACAGTAGTCTGCTCCGCTCACCCAGCGGCCCCCACCCCTTCTCTGCCGTGGGAGAGGAAGGAAGGAAAAGGAGTCTCAGAGAGGGTGAGCAAGAGAAGGTGGAGGCTTGCCCCGTGGCGGCTTCCTGGCTCGCTGGCTTCAGAACACCAGCCAGCCCCGCCTGCAACTGAGCTCTCCAAGAAGAGGGGAGTGTGGCATGTTGGGGGGGCACAGACTGCTCCCCGGGCACTGGCTGCCAAGGAAGGTGGAGGGGCAGGGAGAGAGTGTGGAGCTCCAGGGGCCTTGTCAGGCCAGAACAAGGAATTGCAGAGTCCCTGGAAGGGGTGGGGGATCAGCTTCACAGGGGTGGGCAGGGGGCGCAGACTGAGCCTCCAGTTCTTCCAGGTGGTCTCTGAATACGCCAGAAATTCGCTGTGGGATCCTGATCCAAATGTGGGAGCTGGTAATGGCCCCCAAAGACTTCCTCCTGGGGCTTATCCCTTGGGACCCTCAAGGCCCAGGTCAGAGCTGGGTTTCCAAGTCCCCTCCGCTGTGACTGCCCCTCCAAGGGTTCCTGGCGGCCGAGTGGCATTTCCTCATTCCGGGAAACCAGCAGAGCCTCGGAGTGTGAGTGAAACTGGGTGGGGAGCGACCAGGAAGCTTCCAGATCAGGATCCTTGGCTGGGAGGCCAGTTAGGGCCGTCCCTCCCCCAGCGCCCCATCGAGTCAAAAGTGACTCCCGTCCCTGGGTCGGTGGCCAGGCTCAGTTCGTGTTCCCTGCTGAGAACCCAGACGGAGGCGGAGCACCCGCTGGTGACAGCGGGATGACTTTTTCTTCTCCAGCTCCCAGGCCCTTTCTGTTTCTTCTCTGCCCTGCCCCACCTCACGGAAGCCCTTCACCCTGTTGTTTCGAGAGTCGAGAGTCTCACACCGGTTGGCGCACCCACATATCTGGAATACCTGTGTTCACCAGGGAGAAGCATTTCTTATGTTTACTGTAATTATCAAATGCCATGGGGGTGGGGGCTGCTGGGCACCTCTGGGTGGGGACTCTGCAAGGGGCGGGTGGGGCCCCAATTTGAATGCTGCCTCTCCCTAGAGGACAGTGGAGGGTTCCCATGAGGAAAGGATTCGCGCATTGGACCACCAGCCGGGCTGACGGTAAAGCCATGCTTTGCGCCTTCCAGACCCCACAGATGAGCTCATTTTGAGGGTGCAGCTGCTGTTCCCCCTTTCCATAGCCAAGGACAGTGCCCGCCCCGCTGTATGAGCAGGAGCTGCAGCCCTGTCAGAGGCTGCGTGCGCACAGGCATGGTCTCGTGGGATCCTGCGAGGCTGCGAGGTGGTCCCGTCATGGTCCTGTTTCATGGGCGAGGAGCCCGAAGCCTTGGGCTTACCCCGACTACCCAGGTGCTGAGCTAGCCAGTGTCCTCCTGGCCACGCGTCGCCCGCCCTCCCCAGCACCATCTCCTCCTCCTACCCGACCGACCCTTCCCTCGGCGAGGTGTGAGCTCAGCAGCCCAGCTAGGTCCGCTCAAGCTCCCCCAGTGCAGCTCAAGGTCACCACCCCGTTTCCGTCCTGCCTCCGTGGTACCTGAGCCGAATGTCCCCTGCACGCCCCTGTGGGGTGCGGTGCTGCACCCCGAGAAGCCTGGGCCTTCTCAGCTGGTGAGGGCCATGTGGTGCCTTCCTGCCTCCCTAGGCCAGGCCCTGCCTGGCCAGGGGATCCCCAAAGGCCTTCCACCCCTGAGAGGTCAGCCTGCCAGAGCCTGAAGGCGATTCAAGCTGTATCAGCGCTGACACCCGTGAGGCCCCTTGGGGTCTTGCAGATGCCCAGACTGGGAGCCCTGAGCTCAGCGCCCAGCGGAGAGCAGGGCCGTTCCCCCCAGAGCAGGCCTTGGTGATGCTGCTTATTTGAAATTAGACCCGATGAGCTGTGGGTTTGCATAGACCTTAGTCTGCCTTTTGGGGGGCAGAGACAGTCGCTGGTGGGAGGGCTGGAGAAGTCCTGTGGTCCTGGCCCCTCCGGGGCACCCCGTGCGTCCTGTTGCGCATGGAGACCCCTGCTCAGACTCCCTTTCCTGAGCAGCCTTGGAAGGAAGGGCGTCCTAGCAGGGGCTCGGGGTGGCCTCACCCCAAGCCTCCCCACCCCTGTGCTTTCTCCTCTCCTTTCAGTGAGGCCACAATTCCCTCTGCCCCCGGAGGCAGGGCGCCCCCCGGGAAGCACAGTGTTTCCTTGGCCAATCCTGTCACTGGGCGAAATGGTGGGAAAGGTCTCCCCATCCCGGCCTGTGCCAGGGGGTGTCCCCGGCACAGAGCCCCTCAGCTGTGAGTGGACAGGGCACTGCAGATGGCCCGGGCTCGGCAGGCGCGTCATGGCATCCTGTCCCAGGGGAGAAGCCCCCCACAGCTGAGGGCTGTGGCCGCGGCCCGGGGGCCCTTGCTAGGAGCTGTGACCCCAGCTTGGCCGTGTCTCTGCGTGCGTTTCTCTGGGGCATAATCTCAGGCCTCTCTGCCACCCACGCCAGAGCGCGCGGGAGGACCGTGTCAAGGGCAGCGCGACTTCAGATGTTTGCGTCCGCTCTCGTTGCTCCAGGTGCAGAAGGGGGCTTCGCGGGAGAAGCGGAGGGTGGCCGCGTGTGCTAGGGAGGCCCCTGGAGCCGCGCCGGGGCTTGCCCCGAGAACACGGGTAAGTGGCCGTCTCTGTCCCTGCCCGGGGGGGTCACCACTGCCGTGGCCTCCATTCTGCACACATCGGGTGGAAGGACATGGAGAGGCCGCGGCACCTCAAGCTGCACATGGCGGGAGAGTCCCGAGGGGAAGCCAGTGGCTGCGTCTTGGGGTGACTCCCAGGGCAGGGCTCTGTCCTCTGCCCGGCCTGGTCTGTCCAAGATGGATGTCTCATCCCACCCCCAGCAGAGAGCTGGGACCCGGGAACAAGGGGGTGTTCTCCCATCCCCTACACTGGCAGCCTCGAGTCTAGGGGGCCTGGTCCAGGAGTCCCCCCAGTAGTACGTAGTGCACAGATGAAATAAGCCTGTCCCGTGTCGGCCACGGTCCTCAAAGTCCAGGAGTCACGTGACTTGCCCAGAGGGTTTCACAGAATGCTGGAAACTTCCTTGGGCTCAGGTCCCCCTGCGGCCAGGCCTGGCCTTCAGCTCCCTGCTCAGTGGAGAGACCCTCTCGCTGGGCATCCTTGCCCACCAGCCTGGGCAAATGGAGGCTTCAGCCTCATCCCCGTGCGGTGCCGTTTACAGGGATCAGAGCACCCACGGGACAGTCAAGCGTCTTACTGGCCTTGGGCTCCTGGCGCCCGGCCCGAGGGCCCCGGGCTGCACAGAGTGTGTCCCTGCTCCCTATACAGAAGGCTGTTCGGGGACTGGCCAGCGGTGCAGGGGGCAGGGGCCGGGTGCCTGCGTCCTCCAGGTGGCTGTAAAGCAGGGGAACCTGCTTCCAACCTCAGGGGAGGCTCCAGGGACAGCTGGACATCTGCCTTGGGGCCTTGTCCGTGAATGTGCCACAGGGACATACTGGGGTGTGCGCTGCCTGCTGCGTCACCGCCCTTGGCCCTGTGGAACAGCTGCTCCTTGCAGATCCCTGGGCTTCGTGCTCAATAGAGAAAGCCAGGCCCTCCCCTCTGGGGAGAGGAAGGCCTCTTGGGGAGACAGGATACTCCCCAGTTCAAGGTCGTCCAGGCCAGTGTACAGTAGATGACAAAGCCAGTGCTGGAGAGGGTGGGAAAGAGGGGGTACCCTTGAGACAGCGCCAGAGAGCCTCCTGTCACCCCTGCAGTCAAGGAGTTGACTGAGTACCTACTGTGTGCAGGCGCTGTTCTAAGTGGAGGGCACAGCAGAGAAGGAGAAAGTCGCTCCCCCCCGGGAGCATAAACAAGTCAGCAGAGCCACAGACTCGCCGTAGTGAGGCCGAGAGCTTCCCAGGGACGAGGCAGGACACCCGCGCAGCCAGCGTGCTCAGAGCAGCCACGCGTGAAGGGCGTGGGTGATGGCCAGGCGGGGGCAGGAGCCACTGGCTTCCCACCGGGTCTTGCGTCCAGGAGGCAGGAAGTGGGGTTCTCTCCCGAGGTGCCGGGGAGGAAGGCCCCGCTGTCACCAACGCTGACCATCCCCACACCCAGCATGCCCACCCAGAACACCACCCCTGACCCAGCCGCCTCACTGCACTCCCCCACCCTCCCAACCCCTGCACGCTCACGATCCCAGCACATTCCCCGACACACACCCCTTGGCGCCGAGGGTCCCGTCTCTGCGCGCCGCCCCCCGCCTCGCCACACCGGCGCCCACCCAGCCCTCGAGCACAGAGTTGCCGGGAGGACGGTCTGGGCAGGGGCCAGGCCGGCCAGCGCCGGTCACCATGGCAACCTCGGATGAGGCGGGAAACCACGTCCCTGGCAGCTCCCCCAGCCTCAGGCTCCTGCGGGCAGCTCTGTGGGGTGCAGGGCGGCGCCCTCCCACGCTGGGCTCCACACGTCCACACAGCGCAGACAAGGATGCCCCTTGTCCTCGGCCGCGGTCAGTTCCGAATCCCCACCTGGGCTTCCGGGTGAGGGAGCCCGCACAGAAGCTGCCTTGCCATGTTCTCCCTCCCCTGGGGGACGCGGCCCGCGGAGCTCCTCGCACACCGGGAGAAGGAAGGAGTTGGCGGCTTTGGAAAAGGAAAGCAGACGGGTGGGGGGCACCCGCGGCTGTGCCCCCCCGACGGCTTCATCTGCCCCTCTGCCGAGGCCCCCGTTTGTGACGGGTGTTGAGGGGTCTCCGGCTGCCGCGGAGAGCCCCGGGACAAAGCTGGCCGTGGGCGCCGAGTCAGCACCGGCTCATGCCCCATGACGCGCCCTGCCCGCCAGCTTCTCCTTCTCGCGTCCCGGACACGGCCTGGGCAAGTCCGGGAGAACTTCCCGAGGGAGGAAATCCCTGGGGCTGAGGGAGGGAAGGGCTCCGGGCTGAGGCAACAGCATGTGCGAAGTCCTGGGGAGCCGGGGGAGATGGTGTGTGTGGTGGGGAAGAAATGGAACAGCGCTAGGGAGACGGGGAGGGAGGGGGCACCCCCAGGGAGCACCCCTGGGGCCTGGGGTCACTCTGAGAGAGGGGGAGGGGAGGCAGGGCCGGAGCCCACTCCCTGCCCGGGGCCCACCGAGGAAGTGGGCGGGAAAGTTGTCAAGGGAGCCGTGTAAGCGGCCATGAGCAGGGCGTGGGCTGGGCGAGCCGGCAGCACCCGCTGGCTGCCCCGGCAGCTGAGGATGAGCTCACAGCTGGCACAGGCTCCTCTGGGCAGCTGCCTGGGCGGGAGCCACCAGCCAGGGAGCGTGTTTCGACAGTGGCCCCGTGTGCCCCGTCGGTCCTGGCTGCTGGCGCCTCACTGCTGCAAAAAGGCGGACGGGTCCCGGGACCTGTCTTCACGCTGCTGGGGAGTCTCAAGCCGCCAGTGGTCAGGGCCTGCCCCGTGGCACGCCTGGGCCTGGAGGGGTTACGGTCTGACCTTGCTCCTCCCGTGGCCTGGCAGCGACCTCGGCTTTCCTGCCCAGGCTGCCTGCGAAATGTGCTCTCAGAACAGGAGCCCCTTAGGTCAGATGTACAGAAAGCCTATTTGCCCGGACATTGGGGGTCGTCCCCCAGGGCCAGCGCCCCCAAATCTCTGCCTTGTCCGAGGAGGAAGCCTCTACTGTCCGGGGAACTAGAGCTGGCCTGCGTGGGTCCCCTGTGGCAGGAGGGGCGGGAGCACCCCCACTCCCAGGCCTCTGGGCATGGGGACAGCCCCAGGACAGTGCCAGGCCCCCAGGAGAATAGGTCCTGTGCAGCAAATGCTCTCAACACATGGCGACCCCCTCGGGTCCTTGTCTCCCTCCTGGCTTAGTTCACTCGGTCACGGCGGCAGCCTCTTTTTGTTGCTGAGTCGAAATAACATTTTTAAAGCGCATCTCTGGGGGCCTGAGCTAAGGGCTCAGTTTATGTTATTTTATCCGATCCTTACCATGTTGACATTTTAACCCCAGGGTGGCTACGTGAATGGGGGGCCAGGGGCCCACGGTGCCCTGCGCCTGGGTTGAGGCTTCGCTGCCGGCTCAAAATCTTAGTGCTCTTTTAACAAGAAGCCTCCATTTTCATCATCACCGAGCCCAGCAGCTAGTGGGGTCACCCTCACTTCCCAGAAGGGGCTGCAGAAGCACAGAGCTGGGTGCCCTGGGGGCTTGAACCCCGAGGTCCAGACCTCTGCAGCTGAGAGGCAGAGCAGAGAGCCCACTGGGGACTCGCTTTACCCTCCCAGCCTCAACTTCCTCATCTGTGAAGTGGGGTGCTGCCATGGGCTCCTTGGGGCCCCTGTGCACACGAGGGTCTTCACGCACCCCATTAAGCTCTGCTCATCATGGCACCCAGCCTTGCCCCCAGTCCATGCCGACCTCTGCTTCGCAAGCTTTCTCTGAATGATTTAAAACCAATAATAAAATAAGCTGCCACAGAAAGTCACCCAACAGCTGTTTCCCACCCAAAGGGGGGAAACTTCCTCGCAAGTCCTGCCAGCTGGAGATGGCCCTGCCCTCTGCAGACCGTGCTAGGGGTGAGGGGGCGACCTCGACTTCCCACCCACTTCATCTGCTCAGATGCACGCAGGGAGGGCGCCCCAGGGTTCGACTGCAATCTGATCCTCCCCAAGCTTGGCTGGAACTCATCCAGCCCAGGGTGGAAGAAGCCGCCTGGGCACACTCCAGACGGGCTCTGGCACCTCCGCCAAGCGGCAGCGGCGCCTGGGAGGGGCCAGAGGCGACTCCTGGCCTGTGGGTCTAGAGGGAGCTTACGGAAGCCGCACAGGAAGGCCCTAGGAGGACACCCCACTTCACAGAACATGCTAAACCCGCGGCAATTGCTCAGTTCTTCCTTCCCCAACCCCCCCCCACGCTAGGAGGCTGGTGTTATCACCCCCATTTTACAGGTGAGGAAGCTGAGGTAAGCAGGCCTGGTGGGCCCAAGTCCGGAGTTTTCTGTCTCCAGACCAGCGGTTCCCAACCCTGCTGCTGCTCAACTCGGGCTCCTGGGGAGACTTAGAAATATACTGATCCCGGGCCCCAGGCCTGGTTCATGGAATCAGAGCCGCGGGGGAGCAGGGCCTGGGAATCAGCGTTTGTGTAAGTGCCTCGGGGGCTTCTCAGCTGCAGGGCTGGAGGTGAGAACTGGGTTTCTCTGCAGCGGTTGGGTGGGGACAGTCTTCTTTCCTTGGGGGTTCCCCCAAGCAGGGGCCAGCCTGCTAGCCCGGGAGGGTAGCAGCCCTGAGCAGGCCATGGTTGCAGAAACCTCCAGAACGGCCAGCTGTGCTCCTCTTGAGGTTCTCCGTGCCCGGACCGGGGCTCCCCGCCCCCGTGCATTACCCCCGTCGCTGCCTTTCGCCCCATTCCCGTCGCCCAGAGAGGCGCCACAGCTCCCGCATTGCTGCCTCCTGCCAGAGCTCCCCTGCCCAGGCGGGTCCAGGTCCATCTTACCCCTGCCTCCCCGCCTGCTCACTCCGAGGTGTCCCTGTCCCTGTTCCTCGGGGGCGCCCTCCCTGGCGTCCGTCCGCATCAGCGCAGCGGCGCGTGCTCGCTCAGGGCACTGCCCAGACTTGAACCGGCCTGAAGGTCAGGGACGCTGTCCTCACCCACTCCCTGCGCTGCCGGCCCAGCTCCCGGGCCTGGGTGTGGGCACAGGAGTCCTGGCTCCAACTCAGGCCCTCTCTACCCGCCCGACTCTCTGGGGCGAGGCCGGGCTCAGCCTCCCCAGAGGCCGGGAGGCCCCAGCAGCCGAGAGCTGGCGCCCTGGCCGGGGGAGCCGCCGGGAGCCGTAGGTGCCCTCTCCTGGGGGTGAATCACAGCCTCGCCCGCTCTGTCCTGGGCCGCCGCGGCCACTGTGGCTGGTGGCTTCCAGGGGGGGTGAGGTGAGGTGTTGGTCTTGGAGGCGGAGGCTGAGCGTGTCCCGAGGACAGGCCGTGGCTGGGGGGCGGGGCAGGGACCCAGGGGGCCTCCTGCCCCTCGAGAAGCACCCGCGGCCCGTCCTCCCGGAGGCTCTCGCACGTCCTTGCGCTCCTCGGGTCCTGCCTGTGTTCTGGGGACGCCAGGGGCCACGGGCTGCAGCCGGCACAGAGAGCGAGGCCCCTCGGCCACACGGGCTCACGTGGGCAGGCTCACCCCGCCTCGCGCTGGGTCCGGCCGTGGAGCCGCCTCCCGCCGGTGCTGAGCAAGCAGCCGGTCACCAAGCCGCTCTGGGCCTCAGTTTTGCCCTCGGGCCTGGGCCGGGAGGGACAGGGCTTACATCCTTCCGTCCTTCCTGCAGGCCCGCACCGGCCGGCACGTCCCCGGCTGCCATCCCCGCCGGCCTCTGATCTGCCGCCGCCAGGGCTCCCCAGTCTTCTTGGCAAAGCTGCCCAGAGATTCCTGCTCGCGCTTGTCTGTTCCTGCCTTCGGGGAGCCTGGCACCCACGGGGCTCCAGGCGGAGTCTTAAGCCCTGACGTCGGCAGCTGCTCCGGAGGCCTCGTCCGGGACCCCCGGCAGCCGCTCTCTTCCCAGCGATGCCCTCGGGAGCCTCGGCCCTGGCTGGATGAGACCATCCCAGGAGGGACCCGACCCAGCCGCCCACCCCAAGGGCCGCGCCTCCCCCGCCTCCCCCCATGCCTGGCTGCCCTGCAGAATGTCCGTGCCCCAGATCCAAGTGGAAGAGGTGGCGGATGGGGGCGAGGGGGTGATGGCGGCAGCCCTGCCTCCTGACGACCACCTCCGGAGCCTGAAGGCCCTCACGGAGAAACTGAGGCTGGAGACCCGCAGGCCCTCCTACCTGGAGTGGCAGGCCAGGCTGGGGGAGCAGACGTGGTCCCTCCCGAGGGTGGCTGCTGAGAAGAGGGGGCAGGAGGAGCCCCTGCTCCCGCCGAGAGGGCCCCCTCCCCCCGATGGGAGTGCCGGCGGGCCACTGTCCAAGGGCAAGCTGGAAGGCTTCGAGAGCGTCGATGAGGCTATAGCCTGGCTCAGGAAGGAACTGGTGAGTGGGCACCCCCTAAGGGCCCCCTGAAAGCGGGCCCTTGTCTCGGTCTCTCTGCCTGCCCCCATCTCACTACCTCTGGCTGTTAGTCTCCGTTTCTCTGCCTCTGCGTCTCTGCCTGCCCACCTCTAGCCCTCCCCAGCCCACGCTGTCTCCCGGGAAGTCGGGGGGGGGGGGCCTCATTGCAGGCAGCCAAGAGGCACGGGGGTGACTGTGAGAACCCGAGCGGGTTCGGGGTGTCCCCAGTCCTCTGATGTCTCTGGAGAACATGAACCTCACACCCTCATTCCCGGGCCACCAAGGGGCACCTGGAGTGTGGCTGCCTCCGTCTCTCTGACATGCTCCCAGCTGCCCTCTGAGGTCTCATCCACATTTCTCACTGGGCGGCCCCTTCCCAAGAGTTGCCAAAGGCACCCTGTTGGACAGAGCATGGGGTGAATGTGGGGTGAGTGTGGGGTGTGCGTGAGGTGAGTGTGGGGTGAGTGTAGGGTGAGCCATGGGCACTGCACTATGAGCTGTTTCGTGGGCCGTGGACACGGTCAGTGGCCCTGGCCACACCAGCGTGGCTCCGTTCATCTGATCATTTGCTAGAGTGCCTGAGGGTGGGTGGTCGGCTCTGGGCTGGGCACCTGCTAGGTGGCGTCTGCCAGGACGTGGGTGTGCAGGGCCACGGGCCATTGCAGAGCAGACAACCCCTGGTCCCAGGTGTGGTGGCCTGTCCATGGGCCAGGCGTGATGCTAGTTTCCCTATCACCTGCGGTCCAGACCCCACTTGCACCAATTGTGAGCCACAGGTGACTGCAGGTGACCACAGGTGAGCCACAGGTGAGCTGGCTATCAAGGTCCGACTGCCTTTCAGAGCCAGTGGGCCCACTGGCTCTGGGCCTAAGGGGTCAGTTCTGCAGGGTTTGTTCTGCAGAAAATAAATGGGCCAGAAATCCTCACGAGTTGACCTCAGTAATGGGGGAGGCGGCCTGGGGTACTCGGGTATTGATTAATTGCAAAACTCTCTTTGGTTTTCGTCTTTGTCACTGCGCCAGCTGCCAGAGCACAGGGTCCCTGTGCATCTGCCCCCAGTAACTGAGCGTGACCGGCGGGAGCCTTGGGCCGCCCCATCACCCGGGGTGCTCCTGGGGTGGAGGCCAGGCCAGGCTGAGATGGTGCCGGAAGTGCACTGCCAGACTGGATTTCTCGCCAAGTCCCGTAAGCTGTGACATGGGTCACCACAGGCAGCCCGCGGAGAGCCCACATCGGGGCCGGAGGCTGTCTGCAGAGGGTGCAGCTCCGCCTGGGGGCTGCTCTCCCCGCCCTGCCCCTGCTGTGCCACTGTGCAGTGAGCTGTGCGAAAGTGGCTGCTAACCGAGGCTGTCCGGGAGCCCGGCCTCACACGCACACCTCACCTCATGCTCACATGGTCACCTCTAGCCCCCACTTTACAGAAGTAGAAACCGAGGCTCGGTAGTGGCCGTGGGACGGGGCCCATGGTGGCTGGCCAAGCTCTCCTTGCCAACACACTGTGGGGAGCTTTGATTGTGCTGGCTGATTCTGTTGGGGTGCAGGGGAATGTCCCCCACCCCTCCGGGCTCTTCTTGGGCTGGATGAGTAATCAAAATGATATCAGACAGGTCAGCCAGAGATGCAGTCAGTCCAGGGCGTACGACAACTTACATGTAACTCCTAGAGCCATGGTGCGGCCCACGGGCTTTTCATCCTGCGTCAGGCCCCGGGCATCAGGGACAGAGAGGGGAGGCTTCATGTGACACAGGACAGACGAGAAGGGGGTGGTGTAGTCTGAGCACACAGACGAGGTTCTCCTAGAGGACGTGTCTCCTGATGCGAAACCTGCAGCTGGACGGGCCCCCACGGCGTCCTTCTGGGTCACACAAGGGACGGTGACGGCGTCTGCATTAGGAAGGGGCGAAGGATTCAGGCCAGGACGGTGAGCCCCTCGGCCTCCACCTGTCGCTCCCACCCCAAACCACCGCCTTCTTTGAGTAGGGGGCACAGGCCTTCGGGGCTCACGGGGCCTGACCGGCCTCCAGAACCCACAGCAAGGTGACCAGAGGCTACGCTGGGCACATTGAGAAAAGCAACCCCAATTCCTAAAGATGGAAAATGCATGGCACGGTGGCGGAGGAGAAGCAAGATGAATCAGTGTCCCGGCCTCGCTCGCTCCCCACCTCCTGACTCTGCCCACAGACCTGGAGGCTGCCGATAGCAACTCCGTTTGACAGATGGGTAAACTGAGGCTCATGGCGGCAGGCGGCTTGCCTAGGATTGTGTGACTGCTAAGTGGCGCAGCCCAGCTTGAACTCAACTTTGTCAAGGAGGGGCGGCAGGAGGAGGGGCGGAGGCCTGGAAATCTCTGTGGCTGCGAGCTGGAGGGCCTCTCAGATGCCGGTCCTGTAAGAACAGGTTCTGACCGCTGAGTCGATGGGGGCCTTGATTCCAGATACCCTCCAGGTTGCACCCCCATGCTGCCCGCTGGCCCACAGACCCTCTCCCCTGCCCCCTTGGGGAGCCAGGACCAAAAGGCAGAGCAGACTGTGCTCTGGGCTGGAGAAGGGGTTCAGAGGGCATCCCAGGACCCAGGCAGAGTCCTGAGCCATCCCTGCCGTAACTGCCCCTTCAGCTGGGGGCCCTGCCTGTGGGTGGACCCAGTAGAGTTCGGCGCACTCTAAACTGCATGGCCCAGGAACCACACAGAAGAGTCGGGGTAGCCTCGGACGTGCAATTCTGCCTGCTCTCGAGATCAGCGGCAGAGGCAGCCTGCAAAATCCTTGGGTCAAAGTGAAAACAAGCTCACCATTTGAACCCCCTGCCCATTCTCAGGTTTTTAAGTCCCAGTCAAAATGTTACACACCGCTAGTCGCTGTTTTCCTGCCTCACCTGTTCATGTGCTGAAAGCATCTTTAAAAATAAGCTGCTTTTTTTTTTTTTTAAACCCAGCGAAAGAAAGTGGTTTCAAATAACCTGTTATATTTTGAGCTGGGATCAAGTGTCTGCTCTGCCCAGGACTGCCTCTCTGCCCTCTTGTCAGGTTCAAGTGCAAACGCATTTTCTCCTGTGGAGGCCGAGCTAGCAGGATGGAACTCAGTGGGGGCAGCTGGTGCCACACTCCCGGCTTGACAGGGGAGTGCGGGGCTCAGCCGTGGTGTGTGTCTAGCAGCCAGCCAGCTTGGCCGTTCTCTGACATTGTAAGGCTGTCCCCAAGTGGTTAGGACGGGCAGCCAGCTGTCAACGGGGACCCCCTGAGACACCAGCCATGGGGGTGGAAGGCCCCAGCCTCACCCAGACAGGGCAGTTCTAAGGCAGAGCAGCTGCCTACACTTGATTCTGCTCCAGAGCCAGTGAGGTCACCCAGCTCCAGGGGCCGCCTGCCTCCCAGCTCCCCTCTGGCGGGAAGAGGACAGCCACCTCTCCCTGGGACCCACACAGAGGGAGGGTTTTCCTTCAGATTCATGCATCAGGGCTAGGGGCCCTCAAGTTACTGTGACGCCTCCAGGAAGGCCTGACCTTTGGCTCCTGGTCTCAGAAAATGTGTCACCTGGCAGCTGGGGGCAGCCTGATTCCTTCGGGCAGAGGTCCGCCTTGCTGTCCATCGGCCTCATCAGGGCCAGGCACTGTTGGGCAGCTCTGCCTGTCCAGGCCACACATGTGGCTCAAGGCTGCAGCCCCAGCTCTCTACCTCCTGGAACTGTTCTGCAATTCTGGCCTCACGAGGTGGCCAAGTGGCTGGCTGGGTGGGGAACCCTGAACCCTGGCCTGGCCCCTTAGCTGAGTCTGGAGGCCACCTTGAATACTGGACTTGGTCCCGGAGCTCGAGCCCAGGAAGAGGGGCTCTGCCTTGTGACTTCTCCGCCCATTGCTGACCTGAAGACATGCTATGTGTGGCTCCCGGCCCCCAGCGCACCCCATCCCTGGGGCCAGGGTCATTCTGGGGTGAGAATTGGGAGGCAGCAGGTAGCTTTCTTCTCCATGCCGCTGTGTGGTCCCCGTGGGGCCCCCTGAAAGGTGTTTATGGTTGTGAGACCAGGGCAAAGGAAGCCAGTGAGTGTTAATAACTCCAGGGCCTGTGAGCAGAGCCTCAGTGGGACCCTGGGGACAGCAGCTCAATTCCAAGCTCTGCTGGTCGACGCTCTCGGCCGGGCTGCCCACAGGGCCCTGGGAGGACTGGCAGGTGCAGGTGAGCCCTCTGAGCCTGACGTGACCCGTTTCTGCTGGGTGACATGGGAATGGAGTGAGAAGCCTGAAGGTGACAGTAACAGGACTGTGGTCTGTTTATCGCCCCCAAGGCACCTTTACGTGTAGTGTCCTGGAGCAGGCCGGGCCGTGTCTGCTGTGCCCACTCTGTGGATGAGGAGACTGAGGCTCAGAAAGATGACGGCTCAGAGAGGTTAAGTGACTTGCCCAAGGTCGTATGAAGGACATGGCGCCTGTGGCTGCGGGTCCAGACTCTGCTCTGTACAGATGTTCACGGCGGGGTGGGGGTGGGCGTGGGCAGGAGTCATCAAAAAGCCGGGTTTAACGTCCTGCTGACTTCAGAACAGACTCATGTGCAGGGTTAAGGAAAATTAGGGGCCGAAATCCGCCAGCGCCCTTCAGTGGAGACAAGGGCGGCCAGGCCCTCGTCAGGTTCAGGGTGATGGCCCCCCCCAGAGTTCCCCATGGTTATAGCTTTCACATCAGCATCCCTGTGCCTGAGGCTGAGCCTTCCCAGTGTCGGGTGGCCCCGCCCGTGTGCACCAGCACCCTGCATGGATTTGGGGGAGGGAAGGACACAGCATTCAGAGCTCAGCAGACTAGACCCTAAAACCTCAAGGGGCAGATACAGGTTCTTCCGAAACCCTCACCCCATCCTTCTGGAAAGCCAGCTTCCCTGTGAAGATGGCAGCTTGGCCCAGAGTCTTCTAAGTTTGAAAATCGAGATGTTGTTGTGTAGAGCTGGACTCCTGCTGCAGGGGACAGGGTCTTCCTGGTGGGGCCTGGGGCCGCCCCCA